TTCTCCAGGCCATCAGCATCATGGAGCTGACTTTACAGAAATACGGAAGCTACGAGAAGTTTGAGCAGGCCACGGGCGGGAGCCTGCTGTCCAAGACGCGGATCTGGAGCCACGTCAGGAAGTACATGATGAAGGAGGGCTGCCTGGGGGAGGTGAGTCCGGAGTGAGAGAGTGCGGGGGCACTTAGCCTCCGCAGGGCCCGGGCGCTGGCTGCAGGCGGTGTCTTTCCAACCCTGAGCTCCTTAAACCAGTCACGCAGATTTCTGACTGAACACTGGAAGTCTGTTTTCCCAATGCACTGAGCTGTGTTCAGTTTCTTTCCTCACCGCCATTTCTGTAGCTCATGGGAACATGTGAGTGGTTTTGTGAAAATTGTCAATGAAGAGATCGCCCCGGGGCCCTCCCATTGGAAACCAGGTCCTGGCGTTCAGTGGAGACACAGCTCCGGCCGCAGGGCCAGGCCTCTGCCCGCACCCACCCTGCGTCATGGTGGCCGGGCCGAGCGCAGCGGGACAGGCCCGTCCTCGTGTCTCCCGCAGAGCGCTTGCCTCCCTTCCAGTCCAGGAGGCCCTGAGGGCCCACGGGCTCCGCACCGGAAGGTCCATGGGACTGGCCCTCTGTTCATCCTCTTGGTTCTGGGAGCATTGGGGTGCCGGAAACAAAAGGTGTTCCTGGGGCCTGGCCCCCACCTTCTCATTGTGCTCACGCCTCCCTACCTTCCCTGTGGCCTCAGATCGTGGTCCACCTCACTGAGGACCTGCTCTCCCGCGCCTCCATGACGGTGGTCAACGGCTGCCCCACGCTGACCATCAATGTGTCCACTGCACGTGAGCACTGGCTGGAGGGAATGCTGCGGCACGAAATCGGTAGGGCGGCCCCTCCACCGTCCCGCGTCGTACTGAATCGGCTCCACAGACACGCTCTTAGCAATGGGGTTTTCGTAGTTGTAGTATTTGGTAAAAGGCAATGGAGTTGCTAGGCTTCACTTGAACTTGAGTTACGCCGATTCATGTCCCATTTCAAGTTAGGTTCTCAGGGCCCCGTGCAGCAGCATTAAGCTTAAAAAGTCACTGAACCCCAGGATTTCAGTTCCTTGACCTTAAACTGAAGGAGTTACCTGATCTCTGAGATTCCTTTTAAATATCAAGTCTGTGATTCCTCCCTTGACAAAAATAACCTCTTCTGAGGAGCCCTGGGAGCCCTTGGAGAGGGGGTGGGGGCAGAGTGCTCCTTCCCAGCAGAGGCTTGGGGGCGGTGCGGGCGGGCTTCTGCCGTTTGGGTTGATTTGGGCTGAGAACGGCTGGTAGGGTCTTTGGGGAAGGAAGTAAAGACGGCCCCTCCCGCAGGCACACATTACTTCCGGGGCATCAACAACCTGCAGCAGCCCTGGGGCAGCTGGACCGGCCGCCGGAAGCTCGAGCTGAAGCCCAACAACCCCACGGAGGAGGGGCTGGCGAGTATCCACAGCGTGCTGTTCAGGAAGGACCCCTTTCTGTGGCGGGCCGCGCTGCTCTACTACACGGTGTTCCAGGCCAGCCGCCTGTCCTTCTGCGAGCTCTTCCAGGACATCGGCAAGTTTGTCAAGGACGCCAACACGCGGTGGGACTACTGCGTGCGGGCCAAGAGGGGCTGCACCGACACGGCCCAGCCAGGTGGGTGGCCCTGGGCCACAGCTCCTCTGACTTCAGGGTGAGGGTCGACAGAAAACACAGGGGTGATGGATGTGCTGACGGACGCAGTCTCAGTGGTTATGAGCCACTAACTGGTTCGCCAGTTGTCCCTAGAGCATTGGAAACCAATTCCAGACACGTGTCCTTTCACCTGCAGACACTCCCGTGCGCGTCCCTAACCGGTAAGGACAGCTTGTCCACAGCCCCGGCTATTAGCTTAGCTAACCACATCCACAGCGTCGTAGCACAGGACTCCGAGCGGTGACTTCAGTCCACGGAACAGAGCAGCGTTTACCAAATTCTGTCAGGTGGGAGGAGGGTTTTCTTTGTAAGTGAGCACTTAAGAGTAGGATCAGATCTCATGAGCTGTTTCTGCTCATCATGTCTTCATCCACATTTTTTTCTATTTATAAACCCCATAATCTTTAAAACTCAGTCCTAATTATTGATTTCTTAGGGAAGAATAGTATCAGAATCTCCATAGTTATTTATTTAAAAAAAATATATATTTTATTGATTTTTTACAGAGAGGAAGGGAGAGAGATAGCTAGAAACATCGAAGAGAGAGAAACATCGACCAGCTGCCTCTTGCACACCCCCTACTGGGGATGTGCTCGCAACCAATGTGCAGGCCCTTGACCGGAATCGAACCTGGGACCTTTCAGTCCGCAGACCGAGGCTCTACCACTGAGCCAAACCGGTTTTGGCAGAATCTCCGTAGTTATTTTAATGATACAAAGGGATTAGTGTGTGCGTGTGTGTGTGTGTGTGTGTGTGTGTGTGTATGTGTGTTTTAAATGCTTCTACGTTGCCCCTGTGAGACCTAATGCTGTAAGCTGTCTTCCGCCTTCCCCACCAGACATCCTCATTGCATTATGGGAGTTAAGGCTGCAATAAGAGGGTGGGGTGGGGGTGAAGGTAGGATAATCTTCTACACTAATAAAAGAGAAAGATGCAGCAGAAACCGGTTTGGCTCAGTGGTAGAGCGTCAGTCTGCAGACTGAAAGGTCTCAGGTTCGATTCCGGTCAAGGGCATGTACATTGGTTGTGGGCACGTCCCAAGTAGGGGGTGTGCAAGAGGCAGCTGGTGGATGTTTCTCTCTCTTTGACGTTTCTAGCTCTCTATCTCTCTCCCTTCTTCTCTGTAAAAAATCAATAAAATATATTAAAAAAAAGAGAAAGATGCAAATTTACCTTACCTCTGAGAACCCACCAGCCAATCAGGAATCAGTATGCAAATTAACCAAACAAAGATGGTGGGTTAATTTGCATACACAGGCACAGAGCGACTAAAGACTGAAGACTAAAGACAGAAGAGGCTTAGGTTCTCCGCTGTGGCCAAAGCAAAGGCCTGGGTCCCGGGTGCCAGGGGGAAACGGGTGCCAGCAGCCAGGGGAAGGCAGGCCTATTGCCTGAATCTTCCTGCAACAGGCCTCTAGTTATTTATAGGAGTCATACAATTTAAGTCACCGGTGTTTCTTTGTCATTGGGGGAAAATGCTATTTTAATTATAGGGATGGGGACCTGGGGAGGAGAGATTCTTAAAAGGGAGCTGCTGGTCCTTCCAGAGACCTTACAGTGGATGTTACAAAGAGAGAGCAGTTAAACACAAGTAAACATGGCACCTTAGAAAACCCTTTTGTACAGGCCGCTTCCTAACAGGGAACGGTCAGCATCTCATTACTGAGGGATGCTCCGGACACCGGGTTAAACACACTGTGGTCCCTGCAGGCTGCTTCAGTAAAGACCAGGTGTACCTGGACGGCATCCTGCAGCTGCTGCGACACCGGGACTCCATCGACTTCCCCCTGCTGACCGCCCTGGGCAAGGTGAGTGACGGGGGGTGGGGGGGTGGGGGGGAGGCAGGGGAGCGGGGGAGGTCCCCGCCCATCGCACAGCACCTCCCTCGCTGCCTTATGATGACAACTGCTCTTATCTGTGCTCGGAATTAGCTGCTTTAACGTGATACAGAAGGAAGAAATGCGTTCTGTAATAGAACTGAACGGCAAACTCTCTTAGTGGACGACAAGAGATAAAGAAGGGAATGGGAAATTTGGGGATGCAGTATGTAGTTTCATTTATATACATCTTTTTCTAAAGCATTTGAAAGTAGTTCGTAGAAATAACACTACCCCTTCCCCTTCCCCCCCTTTAAAATATACTTTTATTAATTTCAGATAGGAAGGGGGAGGGAGGGAGAGAGAGAAACATCAGTGATGAGAGAGAGAATCATTGATCGGCTGATCCTACCCGCTCCACACCGAGGACTGAGCCTGCACCTGGCATGTGCGCTGACTGGGTTTGATTTTCGGTCAGGGCACATACAAGAAGCAATCAATAAACACATGAATAAGTGGAGCGACAAATTGATGCTTCTCTTTCTCCCTCTCCCACCCCCCTCTTCTCTTTCCTCTTTCTCTCTAAACTCAATAAATAAAAATTAAAATAATAAAGGAAAAAGAATTTTGCAATTTTGCAGATATTAAAGTAAATTGAAAAACACTTCACAGACTTGCCCTAGCCAGTTTAGCTCAGAGTTGGCCTGTAGACTGAAGGGTCCCGGGTTCGATTCTGGTCAAGGGCACATGCCTGGGTTGTAGGCTCGGACCCAGAAAGGGGTGTGCAGGAGGTAGCCAATCAATGATTCTCTTTCATCATTGATGTTTCTCTCTCTCCCTCTCCCTTCTTCTTTGAAATCAATAAAAAATGTCTTAAAAAAAATAGTCCACATACTTAAAAGTGTACTTACCACCCAGGGAAAAAATTGCTCTTTAACTGTGACTGAGAGTGACGTTGAAAGTGACCCGCCTCCGTTCTCAGGTCTCCTACGAAGACGTGGACCGCTTGAAGGAACTGGGCGTCACGGAGAACATGAGGGTCCCGCAGTTCCTGCTGGACCGGGAGCGGTACATGGAGCACCTGGAGAAGATCATGGAAGTGAACGAGCTGACCGACAAGGAGCTCAGAGACCTCATCCACTAGTTAGCATGCTGCGAGCAGCGCGAGAGTGCCCCCTATGTTCCCTTTTGGTGCCTGGCACCGGCAGATTTGTGAAGGAAGGACTGTTTACATGAGTTTCTGCAGACTGGTCGGCAGCATTCGCTGCATGTTTAGGATAAGTACCAACCTGAAACTGTTTCTAACGTGGGTTCTACAGGCTGCCAAGGAAGTGACTGTGTTCATCTGGTTCCACCCGGTTCTCAGCAGAGTCCGATGAAAAGACTACTGAGGAGTGCTTTTGAAGAATCTTGGCCAAACCGAGCGATAAACTTCTGCCTGAGCACCAAGACCGGCTTCGGCTAGAGCCTGCCTCCCGTGCTGTTCACACGGCACGAGGATGGTCACTGTTCTCCTCTGGAAAGTTAGTTTTTTATGCCCCCAAACAGCTCCATCTAAGGTTTCTTATTTCTCTTCTGTGTTGAGTAACATTAAGGGGGTGGGGACAATCTGAAAAGTTTCATTAATTCTTTACATCTTATTTTTTCACCTTACCAGTTTGGAGGAACTCAATTAGAGAATTGTTTCCAGTTATCCCTTATCTCAAGTCTGTTTTCATTTGCTGATATATATATTTACCCCTTGTAAATGACAGCCAAGGTGAGGGTCTCTCCCTCTGTATTCCTCTAGCAGGTGTCTTCAAACTACGGCCCGCGGGCCACATGCGGCCCGCAGAGGAGTCTGATCCGGCCCGCCAGGTTTTTTGGGCAGTGAGTGCAGCCAAGGTGTTACAGTAGGAATTAGTAGTTCATATAGTCCGGCCCTCCAGCTCTCTGAGGGACCGTGATCTGGCCCCCACTTTAAAAAGTTTGAGGACCCCTGCACCGGTAAGTATAAGTTCCAGAGAGGTTTGTCCATACGCATTAGAATAGTTGGGGAAGAGAGAAGCTACCCACCTGCTCATTAAATGGAGCAACAAGCAGGACAGGTAGGCCCACTCCCATTGGAGCTGGGTGTCCACAGGATGTCTACGGTGCCCTTGACCTTGCTCTGAGAACTGGCATTGCCGGGCCCTGCCTTCGGCTGAGCCAGCCCTGTGATTGGCTTGTGTCCTTGATCAAAACCCTTGGCTTCACCAGCCCAACAGTGACATGGTTTAGATTTCAAAAATGAGGGTTCTGATTGGCTACATTTCTCCTGCCAAAAGCTTACCCACTTGGCTTGATAATTTTTTAATTTTGATATATACTTATATATACATACTTGGGATCAAATGGCTCTTCAAACAACTTATTTTAATGATCAGAAAGAATACTGCTGTGTACACCTCATTCAAAATTGCTATTATAACAAAATTGAAGAATAAAGACCCCCTCCCCCTCCAAATAATCCACACAAAATTGCTACTGAAATTTCTACCCAAAGTTACCTGAGAGTTTGTTTACCTCACTTCAGGCTTAAATATGGTGCTACAGTGGGTGTTGGGTGTCCTGTCTGCTGACAGCCTGGCCGTCATGCTGGGAAACCACTGGAACCCTCCCGCAGGGTGAGGGCCGGTGTGTGATTCTCCTTCATGTAGCCTCGAGGGCTTGCCTTAAAGGAGAAGCTGCAGCAGACAGGCAGTGGCTGGTGCCTGGTGCTGAGCAGAGCCCTGCTTCCCCCTCGGGGGCCAGGGGCCAGCCCTCAGCCTGGGGTGGGTCTGTACGTCTCAGTGGCTGGCCGTGCGCTGGCATCACACACACACACACACACACACACACACACACACACACACACAGGCGGCACCACTCTGGACCCACTGCACTGCTTCCTTGTAGCAGAGCCCTCCAGGCTCAGCTTCATGTCTTGTCTCTGATTTCATCGTCAAGCTTCCCCAAGGTGACTGTGGAAAGGGTCTGTCCTGTGACCTAAGCTCAGTGCTCAGGAGCTGAACTGTGGGCAGTAACACTCTGCTGCAGACGTCCAGCTACAGAGGACGGTCCAGCTACAGAGGACCTGGCACCTGGGTGGGCGGTCTGAGTGTTAAACGGGTGACATTCTCTGTCTGGTTTGGGAAGGGAAGACTTCAATGCCCTATGGCTTCAAATAAAACGAAATGTGAGCACCTTCCAGACAAAGGGACTTCACATCACACCAATTGTCTTAGGACACTTTAGAAGTTAGCAGCGAACCAAAAATAGTTATAGGTGAGCAGAGAAGCTAAGCTTTAAAAGTTGGGATTGAAGATTTAATTAAGGTTATTCTCTTTCCTGAGATAGAATTCTCATGTCAGTTTTATTCCCTAAATAAAGGTTCAATAAGTAGAAAATTATAGCAGCAGTACTTAGGGGAATAATCAAAGATCACATCTTAGGATTATTATAGTTATTTGTCCTAGACTATTGATGCTTAGGATTTCATCAATGTTGTCTACTGAAATTCTAGCATAGAGTATCAAATACACTTTCTGATGAACTGTCTGGTTTTCACACAAGACAGGATTCAAAGTGAAACTGTTGGCAAACAAAATTCCATAGTCTTCATTTCTTTATGTTTTCATCTTTGTAAACATATTTAAAATTTGTATGGCTGGTTTTGTAAAATTTTGTGTCTAGATATAATAGACAAGAGCACTGAGGTTCTGACATGGTGTATGTGACTGTGCCTGCAAACTTCTGTCCTTTGGAACCTAATTATATTTTTCTTGTGGAACTCCTGGGTTGCTGTGTGGTGATTATTGAAAGGAGCATGGACCATGCTGAGCCTTATTTACAGGGAAAGGTTACATTTTCCACCTGCCTCCTCCCCCCCAGTTAGTGCAGCTTGTGTTCTCATGGGAAAAGAGAGAGGGATCATTCTGTCTGTATTTACTGCCCCTGTTTATTGAGTAAATTTTAATTTTTTTTTTATTGATTTCAGAGGGAGAGGAGGACAGAGGGAGAGAAAGACACATCAATGATAGAGAATTAGCTCTAGCCAGTTTGGCTCAGTGGGTAGAGCATCGGCCTGCAGACCCGGCCCCAGGCCCTGGTCAGGCCTCATGCAGGAGGCAACCATTGTATGTGTTTTTTTCTCACATCCATGTTTCTCTCTGACTTTCCCTCTCTCTTCTCTTCTCCCTAAAAATCAATGGAAATATATCCTCACAGCAAAAGAAAACAACACAAAAAGACAACCTAAGGAATGTGAGAAAATATTTACAAACCCATATATCTGATGAGTTAATATCTAAAATATATAAGGAACTCCTAAAACACAATAGCACAAAAAACAATCTGATTTTAAAATGAGCAGAACTGAGCATCTATTTTCCCAAATTAGACATACAAATTGCCAACACGTACATGAAAAGACGCTCAACATCACTAAACAGGTAAGTGGAAATCAAAACGATGGATTTTATACTAGCTTATAAAAAAGATGAGATTGAGTGTTGGTGAGAATGTGGAGAAAAGGAAAACCCTTGTACACTGTTGGTGTGAATGTAGGTAGCTATAGTAAATAGAAAAAAATGGAAGTTCCCCCCCAAAAACTAAAAATAGAACTACCATATCATCCAGCAATTCTACTGGGTATATATTCAAAGGAAATGAAAACAGGATATCGCATAGATACCTACAGTCCCATATCCATTGCAGCATTACAATAGCGAACACATGGAAACAACCTCAGCATTCATCGCCAGCTGAATGGATGAAGATGGGGTCTATATCTACAATGAAATGTAATTCAGCCATGAGAAAGAAGGGAACCCTGTCATTTTGGACAGCGTGGATGAGCCTTGAGGGCACTCCGCTAAGTGAGATAATCTGAGAAAGACCAATATTGTATGACATCACATGGGGAATCTAAAAAGGATGAACTCATAGAAACAGGAGAGAATGATGGTTGCCAGGGGCTGGGGCCAGGGAAGCTGGGGAGATGGTCAAAAGGTACAAACTCCCAGTTCCTAAAGGTCTAATGACAGCGTGGAGGGTATAGTGAACAACACTGTATTATAGATTGGAAATTGCTAAGCAAGTGGATCTTAAACGTTCTTACCACAATAAAGAAATAGTAATTACATGATGTGATGCATGCATTGGCTAATACTGTGGTGGTAATTATTTCATAATTTATGTGAATCCAATCCCCACAGGCATACCTTAAGCTTACATAATGTTATATGTGAGCTGTAGCTCAATAAAGCTGGCGGGGGGGGGGGGGGGGTGGAACAAGACAACCAACTTCACTAGCTGTGTGTGTGTGTGGGTGTGTGTGTGGTGTGTTCTTCCAGAGACAGTTGATGCAAATACAATCGAGTATGTAAAACACACGCTGCTGTACTTTTAGCACAAATGATAGATTACTACCCATCACTCCATATTTTGAATTTTGCATTTCATAGATCTTGGATATTATTCTATGATATGAACTCTCAAAAGTTATGGGGGTCCTTTAAAAAACCCGAACAGGTGGAATTTCAGTGGCTATCAATTTCAAGAGGTTGTGATGCTCTGGAGACTTCTTCCTTCCCAAATGGGAATGAGATAAACCTGAAAAAAACCTTAACACCATAGACTAGTATATCAAAGTTCTGAAGCGCAGCACATAGGTAAGGTGGGCTGGCGGGCAGACCCACATATAAGTGTTAACATCTCAAATTTAGACCAGATATTTTGAAAATCTTAAAAAAAAACATTTTATTGATTTTTTTACAGAGAGGAAGGGAAGAGATAGAGAGCTAGAAACGCCGATGAGAGAGAAACATCGACCAGCTGCCTCTTGCACACCCCTACCGGGGATGTGCCCACAACCAATGTACATGCCCTCGACCGGAATCGAACCTGGGACCTTTCAGTCCGCAGACCGACGCTCTACCACTGAGCCAAACCGGATTCGGCTAGACCAGATATTTTGGTTCTCTTGCCTTTTAAAAATAACCCTTATCATATAGTTTATAACCGTATTTTGGCCAAGAAAAGCGAGTAGCTCTCCCAGGTAAACAGGTCTTCCTGGATTTAGGAAGACTAATCCCTTTTCGTGATTTTGGGCGAGCTCCAGGTGTGTCTCCCCGACCCCCCCCCCGCGCGCTTCTGAGTGGCGCTCCACAACCGCCCACTAGAGGGCCTTCGAGCCCTCCTTTTTTCATTCTGGCTCCTCTGCCTCTATTTTAGGTTGGAGGCCCAGCTGGTTCAACTTGCTGGTTGACCTCAGAGCCAATCCCAAACCCACACTCTAACTTTTAACAAACATGCCTCTTCTGCGAAAGATCTACTGCCTTAAAGAGCTGGAGAGAAGGGGTCCCAAAGTCTCCCGCATGCCCATCGCAACATTGTTAGCTCTTTGGTCCGATTTCAGCCTCCAACTCACAAGTTCGTCACAGAATTCCTTGAGCTGAGCTGAGTCAGGGACTGTCACGTACATCCCCACGGTACCACCGGCCACCGCTCAGCGGGGCAACAGCCCATTCAGTGGCATCGTCCAGACAGGATGCCCCCTCCTCTCCGGCCGGCTCCCCGCTGCCCTGTCGGAGGGATCCTGGAGGCCATGTCCCTGCCCAACCCAGCTTCCGGGACACTAGTCCTGAGGCTGCCTGGGGGCCACTGCCCAGCACAGACCCCAAGCCCAGGCCTCTTCCTGCCTTCCTGACCCAACACAGAGGTCGGGAAGTGCAAAATACTTTGGCCTGGGCGAGTCTATTTTGAAAAAATGGCGTTAGAAGAAGTTTGAGTTCTGTGGAGAACAGTGTGGAGTTTCCTCAAAAAACTGAAAATGGAACTCCCATTTGACCCAGTAATCCCACTTCTAGGAATATATCCCAAGAAACTAGAAACACCAATCAGAAAGGAAATATGCACCCCTATGTTCATAGCAGCACAATCTACAATAGCCAGAATTTGGAAACAGCCTAGGTGCCCGTCAGCAGATGATTGGATCAAAAAACTATGGTACATCTACACAATGGAATACTATGCTGCCATAAAAAAGAAGGAATTCTCATCATTTGCAGCAACCTGGATGGAATTGGAGAACATCATGCTGAGTGAAATAAGCCAATCAATGAAAGAGAAACACCACATGACCTCACTCATTTGTGGATAATAAAGAGCATTATAAACTGATGAACCAAAAGATAGATATAGAGACAGTATATCAACAAGTAGACTGTCAAATTACAGCGGGGAGGGGAGGAAGATCTGGGGGAGATAATAGATCAACCGAAGGACTTTTATACATGCATATAAGTACAACCAATGGACACAAAACTCTGGGAGGGAGGGAGGGGGGCAAAAAAAATCAATAAAATATATTAATACCCCCCCCCCCAAAAAAAGTTTGAGTTGAAAAATAAAAATTTTGTATCTCAAAAGTTGTACTGTTGATATTTAGCTCGTTGACTAATGAGTTTGCAGACCACTGGCCTAAACCAACAGGAACAAGCGCTCTGGCCATCTGGGTGCCAGAATGTGAAATGAGGGCGCGTAGGGCCGTGCTCCCTCGGAGGGCTGGGCTCCGGGGCAGGGTCCTTCCTTCCTGCCTCATCAGCCTCTAGGGGCTCCTGGGGCTCCTTTGCTCCTGGCCCCATCCCTCCACAGTCCCCTCCTCTAGGCCCGGCCTGTCCCGCCACTCACCTGACTCGGCCTCCGCCTCCGTCCTCACAGAAGCCCACATGGCTTTCAGGTGTGTGTGCATCCCGCCCTTTGCGGGCCCCGCCCCCTGATGACGTGTGCACCTCTGGCCAATCATGTGGACCCGCCCCTGATGGGGAGCGCACCTCCAGCTGTGCACCTGGCCCCGCCCCCTGATCACGTGGGCACCTCTGGCCAATAGCGTGGCCCCGCCCCCGATTAGCTGCCGAACCTCCGCTATCCGGTGGCTCCGCTATCCGGTGGCTCCGCCCCCGCCGTGCACCTGCCCGCGGGTGAAGCTACGGGCAGCATAGAGAGGGTGAGGGGCTTCTTCCTCTGAGGGTACACAGCAAGACAAGGGCAGAGAGGACAATGGAAGCCTGGGCTGCCCAGAGCCTCTGTTCCCTTGACCTGTGACCTCTGCCCCCGCCCCCCGTGGCAGCATCTCTCGTCCCCTGGGCCCCCAGTCAGCACACGGCACCCTCAGCGCTCCCCTGTAGCTCCAGGGATCTGCTGGGCCCGCCCCCCAGCCGGTCACCTGTTTTCCAGGTCCTGCCTTCAGCCCCAGCGTCCTCAGACCAGGTCTGGGGGTGGGGCTGGCAGGGTGGGTGGGATAGGGGATGGGGGGAGGTTGTCCCAGCTCCTGGAGGGCTCAGCCAGAGCTCTGCGGCCACCGGAGGGAACCGGTCTGCGGGGTGGTTAGGCAGAACAGGCCTCCCAGGGCGACTACTGGATGCTCAGCTGGCTCCAGAGCCATCCTACAGCCTCCCCCGCCCCTTAACCCTCCTCAAGGGGAAGCAGCTGTGCTTTCCGCCCAGCCCAGCCCAGCCCAGCTGCCTGCCTTGGGAGGAGGCAGGGGCTGTCGCCCTCTGCTGGCCAGGTCCTGTTACTGCGGCTGTAGGAGGCACCCCGCCACCCAGCCCCTGCCCAGTGGAGGCCATCCCCACACATCATCTCCATCTCCCAGTTCAGAACCAGGCCCTGGAGGGGCTCCAGTCACCCGGGATGAAGCAGAGCTGGACTGGGGATCGGGACCGTGTCTCCTGGGGATGTGTTGGAGAAGCGCAGGCCATAGGCAGAGAAGCCAGCTAGCCCAGACCCCCTCACCCCCTGCTTTGAATGGTGACCTCCATGTTGTCCCAAGACATCCCTGAGGTTGATAAATGGACCCACTTACAGACAATCAGCCCCACCAGGGTCACCCCACACATGTGGCTCCATGTCTGTGGAGCTGAGCTTGGTGGAGCCACACATCCCAGAGGCCACCCCAGCTGGTCAGGGTGTCAGGGCAGTGGGCACTGGAACCCATGACACACTCCCAGGAACCACTGAGCCACTGCTCTCCCTCCCACCCGTGCTAAGAGGGCCTGCCCCTCCTTCTGCTCTGGGACCCCTGAGCGAGGGCGCAGGCAGCAATAGGTACACGGCAAACCCCACCACCCGCCCTCCGCCGGCCAGGCTCCCCATGTCTCCCCTCCCCCCGCAGCCTCTTCCTCTCACTGCAAGGGCCCCCAAGCCCCAAGCAGCCCCCCTTTTCCTTCCAGTGGTCGGCAAACTCATTAGTCAGCAGAGCCAAATATCAACAGGACAACGACTGAAATTTCTTTTGAGAGAGAGCCAAATTTTTAAAAATTAAACTTCTAAAGCCACTTCTTCAAAACACACTCACCCAGGCCGTGGTGTTTTGTGGAAGAGCCACACTCAAGGGGCCAAAGAGCCGCTTGTGGCTCGTGAGTCGCAGTTTGCCGACCATAGCTAGCCTATCGCTTTCAAAGATCTGGCCTTTGGCTCTGAGTCGTCTTTCCCCCAAACACACTGTAAGCTTCCGCCCCGGGGACTCTGCTGGACACGTCCCTCCCTCACCCCCCGGCCCTCACGTTCCCCTGCCCAGATGCCACGCCCTCGGCCCTGCCTCCCTGTCCGATGTGCAGCCCAGGAGGTCACTTACTGTGAAATGGAGCGATGGTCCGCCTGGATCCTCAGGGTGTTCTCAGGTCCGCTGTGGGAGCCCCAGGCAGGGGCACTCCCCAGCAGGCAGCATCGTCCTTCTGGCCCCTCCCTACCCCCTCCCCGCCCCACACCACGTCTCCGGAGACCCCTTAGGCTGAGGGTGCACACCTGTGGGCAGGGCAGGCACTTCCTGGGCAGACTGACACCAGAGTCCTGGCAGCTGGGAAAGGGGGCAGGCACCGCCGGTGAACTCAGGAGACAGCCCCAGCCGGGCAGGGAGCTCCCGTCATGTCCTCCCGCTGCACTTCCTTCTAGCCTGCCCCAGGGTCTTCCCAACTGGCTGGGGGGGGGGGGGGGGTCGTAGAAGGCCAGGGCGAGGGGGGCGGGGTGCAGGAGACACCATCTGCCCCAGGAGCTGAAGGTGAGGAAGGCCCACCTTCAGGCCACATCCATCAGCTGCATGACTCCCTGGTGCTTCCCTTTGGTGAAGGCCGCCTCCCTGCCCAGCCTGGGCGCAGCCGGGCGGTGGGTGGGAGCCATCAGGGGGCAGTGCCAGCAGCAGAGAGGGGCTCCGGGCAGAGAGCTGGCGGGGGGTGGAGGTGGGGGGCGGGTTCTAGCCTGGACACCATCTCAGGGATCACCAGCCTGGGGGGGTCTTTGCGTTTGATTCATTAGGGGGCCTATGTGTGTTTTCTTTTTAGAAAGGAAGGGAGAGAGAAACATCCATGATGAGAGAGTCATTGATTGGCTGCCTCCTGCACACCGCCCTTGGGACTGAAAACACACCCGAGGCATGTGCCCTGACTGGGAGTCAGTGACTTCATAGGTGGACGCCCAGCCACGGGGCCACGCGGCTGGGCCTGGGTCTCCCGCAGGTGATGGGAAAGGCAGGAGAATTGTTGCCTGGCTGCTTCGGGAGGCCCCGCTGAGGCGGGAGGGAGAGGCGAGGCTTTCAGGGGCCTGGCACCCGGATCCCCGCAGCTCCTTCTCCCAGGCTCACCGGGAGGGCACAGGAGACCCGCCCGCCCAGGACCAGGACCGCGTTGGAGGACACCCCCCCCCCCCCCCCCCCGCCCATCCCCAGGGCCTAGCTTGGTGGGTGCACAGTGTGTGCTGATTGGACAGAAACACCCCGTTCTTCTCTTCTCTCTGGTGCCTTCCATCTACAGTCCTGGAGGCGGAGCAGGAAGGACAGGGGGCGGGAGGGGCGGGAGGAAGCGGGCAGAAAGGCCACACTATGGACTGGGCGGGGCTGGGTGGCAGGGGACGCGGGAGGAGGGCGGGTTAGGAACGATCCAGAGCGCAGACAGGGGTGGCGCGATAGTACTCAGCAAGGACAAGGCATGCGCTGTGGGGCCGCGCAAGACCCAGAGGAACCTTCAGCACAGGTTGCCAGGGAGGAAGCCGATCTGAAAAGGCGACTCCTGTGTGATTCCAGCCATAGGACACACCGGCAAAGGCAAGGCCATGGAGAGAGTAAAAGACCAGTGGTTGCCATGGGTTGGGGGGAGGAGGGATGAAGAGGTGGAGCACTCCGTCATAAAAGACCTCCTAGCAGAGAGGGGGACCCTGGTGAGGGTCAGGCCCGGAGGGAGGAGATGATGTGCAGACTTCCGAGAGTCTGGGGTGGGGGGCGGCGGTGGGTGTGGGGGTTCAGCGGGGTGAGAGGCACTTCTGCAGGGCAGGGGATGGCATGGAGCTCCCTGGAGGGGCTGCTCTGTGTTTAGGACCCTCAAGCCCCCCCCCCCCCCCCCCCAGGCATCCAAAGTGGGTACCGAACACCCGCAGCTGGGGATCTAGCCTCTCCCTGAAGCCGGGCAGCTTCATGTGTTTACTTTTCAAAACCAAACTAAGCCGAAACCGGTTTGGCTCAGCAGTAGAGCGTCGGTCTGCGGACTGAAAGGTCCCGGGTTCGATTCCGGTCGAGGGCATGTGCGTTGGTTGCGGGCACATCCCCGGTGGGGGGTGTGCAAGAGGCAGCTGGTCGATGTTTCTTTCTCATTGATGTTTCTAGCTCTCTATCTCTCTCCCTTCCTCTCTGTAAGAAATCAATAAAACATATTAAAAAAAAAAACCACAAAAAAACAAACCAAACTAAAAACCACCACTCAGAATATGTGAGAAGGACGCTCCGTCACAGTTAGAAGTTTTATGTAATTTGCAGCCAGAACATCACAGACTGGTGGTCAGAGCGGGGAGCTCCCAGCACTGCTCAGCCGGGCCTCGCAGCCCACAACACTCTGCACACTCCCTTCCAGCCTCCAGGACGGTTCCCTGCGCTGCAGCCCAGGCCGATGCACGGCGGCGTCTGCAGAGGCTGGCGGCCGGAGGGCAGACGGCATTCCAGTTCCCGGGTTTCCGATTTGGCCGCGGGCACCTCCGTCCCCCACAGAGGTCCTGAGGTCCACGGAGAAGGCGGGCGGGTCGGGATCCGGATGAAGACCTCGAGGCAGCGAAGGTGGGGAAGCCGCCGCGCCATCACCGCTCGTGCTTAATGTGGGCCTCGCTGCGCTCCAAGGCCACCCCGCTGCCGCTCCGCGGGCCTTCCCGCTTGGTCCCGTCCTTCTCCGCGTAAAACTCGGCCAGCACCGGGCAGTGCTCCGACGCCACGCCGCCCCACGACCAGTTGTCCGGGATCCACGGGTTCGTGAGGCCTTCCCTCAGCACCGCGCAGTGACCTGGGGGCGGAGACAGAGTCAGGGTGGGCCTTGGAGACGGGGAGCCCCGGGCTGGAGGGCGGAGACGACTCTGCCCCCGAGGCCTGGGGCCCAGCCCACACTGCCGCCTGGAGCGCCCGTCAATGAGACGTGGGGCCACCCTGATTCTGGACAGGTGACGCTGCTCATTTAGGCCCCGAAAGCCCGCAGTCCAGGGCGCCGGCCCACCCACACTCGTCAGCCGATGGTTGGCCGCCTCCTTACACTTCTAATCTGGGAGAGGAGTGTCTGACAGTGGGATAGTCAGTCTCCCTGGATGGCCAATGCAAGGCTGTGTGTGCGTGTGTGTGTGTGTGTGTGGGGGGTGGGGGGTGGAGGGGCAGTTCCATAAATAGGGGAACAACGGGCCAGTTACAGAGGCTTAGGAGCCAGTAAATATTTACAAAGCAAAGATTAAGGAAAATATGAAGCAGGAAGGCAATGGAATGGTCCCAAGAGCCGGTGCAGAGCAGTGGCATGTGAGGCCTTGGGGCGGAGCCACGGGGGCCAGTGTGAGATGCCCAGGCCCTCTGGTCGGAGCCGTGGCCTCCCCCGATGGTGGGAACTGCTCGCTGGGCCTCGGCTTCTACACCTGAGCAGCACAGCGACAGGTGACCTGCCTGTGACCCTGGGGCCCTGTGGTCTTGGGCTCTAGGCTGGCTTGGTGAGAACAGTGCCTGCAGGGGCCCCCTCCAGGGAACCAGCTGTGCACGCAACTGCCACTCCCCCTGAGCCCCTCTCTCCCTCTCAGGACACAGTCCCCCAGGAAACCAGTGTCCAAACTGGACTCTCTGGCCCTGAGGACCTCGGCCCAGCTGCGTATCCCAGTGCCCTAGCGGCCCAGGCCTGGGCCCTCTCACCTGGGACTGTCTCATGGATGTTTCTATGCAGCCGCTGGGGTCCCAAAGCCTCCAGGCAGCCCAGAGAACCCAGTTCCTGCCTTGCAGAAGCGCCTACTGTGGCCTCCATATTTCTGTTTTCTGACCCCAAACAGTGACCTCAGCGGGTTCCTGTTTTTGGGGTGGGCTGCTTTTCAGTGCTGATTACCCACAGCACCCTGGTCCTGGTGGGGTCCTGTCTAACGTGCTTCTCCTGCCTTATGGGTCACCCCGCCACTCTGCTCACCCCGACTGCTGCTCCTGGGCATGCAGTGCCCAGGCTGGAGAAATGCTTGCTGAGCGGCAAGGCATCCTAGGCGTAGGGTGTCAGTTCATCCCTGCACCGGGTCTCAGCTAGCCCATACCCAGGTCTGCCCGGACACCCCCCGTGTACCCTGTCGGAGGCCAGGGAATGCCTTTCCATTCCTTTCCACTCCCCCCACCCCCTTCACTCTTAAAAGTGGCTCTGCTGGAGTGACAGTTACATGGTGACTTGCACTGTAACCCCCCAACTGCCCCCCCGAGGAGGTAGGTAAGCCCCGCCTCCTGCTCAGCCCAGACCATGGGCACTGCCAGTTCCGACAGCTTTCGCTTCCTCCCTCCCCGAGCAGGAGAGAGGAGGCGCGGCTGGGGTTACCTGTGAAAACCTTCCTCAGGCTTTTGCTGATCCAGATGTTGTCCAGGGACTTGGAGCCCTGTGGGTTTTTGGTGCTGATGTTGGTGAAGGTGTGCGCGGGGACCAGGGCGTGGAACCGTTCTTTCCGCAGGAGGTCGTGGTCGCTGCTGTCCGGGCCCTGGCCGAAGTCCCCCAGGACCACCACGTCCTTTTCTCCTGGAAGGGGGAGGGAGACGTCAGGAGTGGCCCCGAGTCTGACTGGATGCCCCCAGGCGATAGGACTGCCGTGTGGTTCTCATTCTTCCCATTTCCCCAAATCCCTTGTACAAAAATGCCCAAACCTTAAAGAGGAGGTTAGTAACACACCTGGTAATGGGGGAAGGAGGGTGCGCATGTCAGAGGTCACCCTTAGTCCAGCTGTGTGTTCCAAATCTCACAGCCGACGGAGGCCTGAGGGTCTCGCCCAGAGTTTTTACAAAAGCTCAGAGAAACATTCACTGAACACGGAGGAAAGCCACGTGAAGATGCCGGGAGAAGGTGGCCACCAGAAGGCCAAGGGCAGCGGCCTTGGGGGAAACCAGCCCTGCTGACATCCTGGCCTTGGGCCTCTGGCCTCAGAACTGGGGGAAATGAATGGGTTGTGCAAGCCGCCGGCCGTGGTGTTCTGTTACGGCTGCCCCAGTGGACTAATACAGAGCCGCCCCGGAGAGCTTTTCTCTCTAAAGCGTTTTCAACGTTTCTCCCACGGTTTGACGTATACTAGCGAGTGGGAGAGTTACCAAGAATTGTCCAAAGTGAGCAGACGTGTCCCGAAAGGGCAGTGGGCTCCGCGGGGCTCAGCGAGTCTCGCTGACAGTCTGACCATCGCCGCGTGTCCCTAGCCTGCAGGGAGCCATGACATCACAGGTGCAGTGTTTCTGTCACACCTTTCTTTTTAAAGATGTTTCGTTGATTTCAGAGAGAGGGGAATAGAAACATCAACGATTTACACCCCCTCCTGGGGATGGAGCCCACAACCCGGGTATGTGCCCTGACAGGTCGATGCTCAGTCACTGCGGCTTTGAAGAAAGCAGTTCACAGACGAGAGCCCACTGTACCCGAGACACCCACCAAATCCTTTTCCTTGACTGGAATCTGCTTCAGTAGCAATGGCTAAGGGAAGAATCGAAAGTGAAATGGCACAAGCCACCAGCAGAGGGCACTCGTGCACCGCAGGGGACCCTCCTCTAAGGCCAGGAGGGACAAGAAGGGGATGAGACCGAAGCCTTCCAGAGGCTTCCTTGTGTGGGCAGCAGAGATGGCCCCTCGCCTCCATTGGAATGATCTGTCTTGAGAGATCAGTGGCAATTTCCAGTGGGAAAGCTGACCTGAAAGTAATGTTACCAACAAGTCCAACCCGGCCATCGGTAATCATCGCTGAGCCCTGGCCCCGGCCCTCTGAGCAGGTAAGTCAGGGCCAGCCCTCCAATCCAGCTCGCCCACACAGCTGGGGTGACACAGCCATGTGGACAGGGGTGGGGGTTCATCGCAAACCCCCCGGTGCCTGGAACAGGGCCTGCTGCACGCAGACACTCAGTGGACACGGTGGACTCAACAGGTGGAAGGCTGAGGAACCTCAGAACCACGGCGCCGCTCCCGGTGGGAGGGAAGGGAGGGGTGGCTGCCTGTACTGACGATGGAGGAGAGGAGGGCGCCAACAGGCTGAGGGGAAGGCCCCCACAAGGAGAGGTTTCCCGGGGGGCAGACCTGGGGGGGTGGCCTGGAGGACCATTCTGGACCAGGAGGGATGCGGGTGTGCGGAGCCAAGGCCAGCGGTGCAGCCTCGGGAGCGAAAGGCACGCGTTTCTGTTTTCTGTGGAGGAGGCCGCAGCTTTCCCCACAGGCACCGCCACGGCTCCTCTCCTTTAGGCGACGGCTGGGAGCCACCCAGACCCTGCTTGTCGCTGAGAATCTCAAGGTTGCAGAGCCTGCATTTTCCCAGAGAGCATCGCCTCAGCTGGCTCCCGGAGACATCCCAGGTTCCCAGAAGGACAGGGAGATGCTTGGGGCGGATTTCCTAGACGGCCCCGAGGCATGTAACACGTCAGTGACGGTGGCAGGTGCCGGTCCCCACAGAAGGATGCCGGGCACGACTGTGTGCCTGCGTGGGTCTTGCCCCGGGGGCTCTGAGAGCAGAAGACGCCATGGTATGACGGGCACAGCCCCCGCTGGCACCAGCCTGGCACAGCCTCCGACAACGGCAGGAGGGCCCGAGCTCGCCACCCGCATGGCTCTGTGGGCTCTGCCGGCCTGTGGGGCCGAGGGCGGGCCTCTGTTTCAGCTGAGCCGCCTGTGCCCAGGGTTTGCCCGCTGCGCCCGCGGCAGGGGCACTTCCTGAGTCCTCAGGTGGCCGAGTCCCGGGTTAACAGGCAGGGGGGATGCCTGCTGCCTGAGGGGGGATGCGGGCAGGCCATCTCTGCTGCCCACACAAGGCCAAATGAAATAAGCCCACCACAAACGGGCAAAGACTTGAAGATTCTACTTCTAGGGGCTCCCTAGAGCAGCCACTTCCACCAGATTCATAAAAAGATCCCAAAACGAGTAAAGATGAAAAGCTAATAGAGACAGAAAGTGGATGGAGGTTCCCAGGCACGGCAGGGGGTCGGGAGGGGACAAGGGGAGCGAGCGGTTAAGGGGACAGAGTCTCCGTTTAGGATGGTGACACGGTTCTGTCTCAAGACAGATCATTCCAGTGGAGGTGAGGGGCCATCTCTGCTGCCCACACAAGGACACCCGGACACGTCACGGCCACGCCGCTGTGGGCCAGCAGCCCGGGGTGACCTGGAGCATGAGCCGGCCCCGCCTTTCCGATGCAAACCGGAGAGACTGGGTGTGCCCACGGTTATCAGCCCCGCAGCGACCCGGCGGGCTTCCTCTGTGTTTCCACGTTAAAAAAGGAAAAAGGGAAAAGCCTGAGATCAAGAACAACAGAAATGGCCACAGCTCTCAAAAGTGATCCAGCCTTCCTTTTGAACGGGTTCCAGACTAACTGAAGGCGAACCGTTTCCCACAGCTGCTCCCTTCTCAGCCCACAGACTCATCTTTCCAGGAGAACGCTGGCTCCAGCACAGCCTGGCCCCGACCGGAAGCTGCATTTCCATGTTCCTAGCAGCCAAAGGCAGGAACAACCCACGTGCTCCCTGGCCGATGGACAGGTAAGCCACACCGGCGGGTGGACGGGCGGTAAATGTTCAGGGTGGGGCGATAGTAAGCGGACGGTTGTTCGTGTGGGAAGTGATACAGTAATAAATAATCGCACAGGAATAAACTGTGTTTGGAATACCCACAACTATAACCCTACTTTTGCTCCCCTCTATAGGCAGCGGCAAGGTTTTTGGCCTTAAAAAGAAGGAAATTCTGGCACCTGCTACAGCATAAAGGAAACGTGAGGACATGAGGCCAAATGAAATAAGCCCGACAGGAACGGGCAAAGACTTGAAGATTCTACTTCTAGGGGGTCCCTAGAGCAGCCACTTCCACCAGATGCATAAAAAGATCCCAAAACGAATCAAGATGAAAAGCTAATAGAGTCAGAAAGTGGATGGAGGGTCCCAGGCACGGCGGGGGGTCGGGAGGGGACAAGGGGAGCGAGCGGTTAAGGGGACAGAGTCTCCGTTTAGGATGGCGACACGGTTCTGCAGATGGACGGAGGGGACGGTGGTACAACCAAGTGGATGCACTCTATGCCACCGACTCTTACACTTAAGTGGCTGGGATGGTCGATTTTATGTTCTGTGTCTTTTAGGCAATAAAACAATCTCAAATGTAAGTCTGTAGTTGGGCCAATTTTTTTTTGTAGTCGATTCTTCATTAATTGACTCCACTGTGAGGGGCCGGTGTAACAAGAAACATGCCGAGAGAGCGAGAGAACAGTGGTCAAAACTCAAAAACGTGGAAGAGAAATCCAGGTTGTGAGCCCTCACCGGAGGCCAGTGTCCAGGAAACCAAGCCCGGCCAAAACGTCCCGGCTTTGCCACCCTGGCCGCTCCTCCCCCCGGCTAACCACACTCAGATCTGCCTTTTCCTGTGCTTTAATCCCTCTGGAACCTTCCGAGTCAGTGCACGTCCACCAGCACCGATGGGCTCGGTTCTCCGGTCAGCGAGCCCCCGGGCACCTGCGAGGACGGCACTGTTGGGTCCCCATCGGGTGACGGGCCTGAGGCCCTGCAGCTGCTGACGGGCCGAGATGGAAAGCAGCTTTTCCGAGAGCTCGGCCGCCGGTGCTGTCCTCGCCCACCAGCGAGAAACCACGTACTGCCCACCGATCGGCCTTCCCACGCCCGTCACTTGTCACCAGCCGTCTCTCCTTCACAGCCGAGGTGGTGTCATCGACCCCCCCAATCCTTTCCATCACAGACAGGAGGAGAGCCACAAAGCCGATGCTGTGGGTCTCGCATGCTAGACGCGCAGAGACAAGGCGGTCCCCATGCACAGGGCGCCGGCTGGGCTCCAGAAGGTGCGGGCGTGGCTGCCTCCTGTGCCCTCACCATGCACCCTGCCCACCCAAGGACCAGCCTGCAGGACCAGAGATGCTGGCAGAGCCCACCCTGCCGGCCCCGGAGAAGGACCGTTCCCCACCTTTCAGCGTTTCCTGCAGGGCCTGGGCGAAGCTGGCCGCGCGGTGGCCATCGCTGTGGTTCCTGCTTGGATTCTCCCCCGCGGGGAGGGGCGGGGCCACTAGGTGAAGGTTCACGAGGGTCAAGTCATGGCTTCCCACCTGGACGGGAGGAGACAAAGCAACAGGGACAGGCTTAGAGGCTTCTGGCCCTGGTTTCCATTCCCACCGACTCGCTGTGGTTTCATACACACGTGGGCAGCCGGAGGCGAGGCAGGCGGCCCCGGGAGGTGGGTCAGAGGCCCCTGCGGGGAGAGACCCAAATGTGCTTTCCCCGCCCCCTACATGCACCCTCTCCTGCGGGCCTGGGAAGTTGGCCCATCGGGAACGCCAGGGTTTTCCTTTCTAAGCAACCACAAGGGAGGGGAGGGCTCTAGCAGCTGCTGGTTAACAAGGTCCAGGTCCTCCCCAGGCAGGGGACTGCTGGGATCCCCTGCAAGGCCCACTGTGGGCCCCACCTCCTCCCCCACCCACCTACATCCCCCCACCGCCGTGCCTTCTTTCTCCCTGCACCCCCATGTTCGCTTCCACCTCCCGCACAGGCTCTGCCCGTCCTGCATCCCCAGGAGGGGCCTCGGGGTGCAGGTGGGGCGGGTCCTGAGCTCGCACTGTTGCTTGGCTGCTGGGGTTTGGCAATCCTGACTTCCGTCTGTCAGGGCAACCACACCGCGCACTGATGGGAAGGGAGGGCGTGCAGGGGCCCCGGGAAGTGAGCCCGGCCTGCCACCATCCCCCGCCAGGAGCTCTCTGCAGCTGTGGCTCTGACCGCAGAGGGCCCCTCTTATTAATGTGGGCAGGGAAACCCCTCCTGGGGAGCCCCCAGAGCGAAGCCACGCCTCTGTCTGTGCTGCTGCCTGGCCTAGAAGGGGGCACGAAGCACGGGCGGCTGAGGGCCTGCCTAGGGACGGCTTTGTTTAGAGAATGTGGGCTGATTTCTCATCGGCCGCCTCTTACAGACACCATGGGCGCTGGCTGCCGCCCCATGGCCGAAGCTGGTACAGCTCGGAACATAAAAGGGGCCCAGTGTTGTGAGGAGGGTATAGAGATGATGCCCAGCTGGTTTCCACACAGGGACCAGGGGCAGCCCCCCCCAATCCCGCCCCCCCCCCCCGGCTCCCCCAGGTGTGTGCTCACCAATCCCTGCAGCCACAGGAGGGAGAAGGGCGTGTGCCCAACCACCCGACACAGCCCCTAAGCAGGGCAGCCCAGGAGGCCAGCCAGCCGAGGCGCCCCTGTCTCCCCCTTACAGAGGACATTCCCCTTCAGGAGAAGCTGGCCTTCGCGTGACGCGGCGCGGGTACCTTGAAACGCGCCAGGTACGGGCTGGGGCCCGCGGGCTTCCCATGCCCGTTGCCCGGGGAGCTGTCCTGCGAGGCGGCGTCTCTCAGCTCCACCCCGGCCCCCGCGTCCCACAGGAACCCCGAGAAGCCGGCCCCCTGCGGGAGAAGAGAGGTGTTAGTTAGGAGAGGGGTGGGGCTCGGGGCTGGGGGGCTGGGGGACGAGGCAGGAGGCCCAGGGTTACACACTCAGGGGCTGTTCCTGAAGCACAAGCTCTCCCTCCAGACATCTCATACCACCCGTTTCCCAACTCCCAGGGCTTTCCGGACAGCCAGGTGCCTGGCACTTCTCTTGTGCGGGGAGGGGCACCTTTGTAATCACCCCGTCCTCTGAGGCAGTCTCCCATGGGCCAGAGGAAGACCCAGCTGCTCAGAGAGGGTAAGTAACGCCCCTGAGACCCACAGTCGGTAAATGGCAATGCTGGGAATCCAAACAAGACCCAAGGGCTGGGTGTGCTGGCCGACTGCCGGCCGCTTACAGCACACGGGGCTGGTAGGCGCCACAAACATTTACAGGGTGAATGGAGGTCGGGCAAACAGGCCAATGCAGGAACGGGTCAAGGCCTCCGAGGACCCCCAGGGCCTGAAACCGGGAGCAGACGCTGTGAGGGCCAGAGGGGCAGGCAGACAGGCCGGGCTGGCAGGATGTGGTGCTTGGGGCTGAGCCTTGCCATCCTGGCAGTGGAGGGGGGGAGGGGAAGGAGGGTATTTGTTGAAGGGATGACTACCGAGTATTAAAGGGGCTGTGAGAGCATCATGAACCTGCGTACATGTCAGGTGCTATTAGCAACAACAACAGGGCAAGGTGCTATGATTTCTGAGTGGACTGAGGATACAGGGTTTTCCCTTCTAAGCAACCAGGGCTGCAGGCTGCTCTTGCCTCTGGGGACACACACTCACAGAGGTGAGGGCGCAGAGTGGTGAGAACGAGACCTACTCCGTCCAGCTCAGCGCTATTCCCAGGCCACAGTGAGCACACAGGGTGTCTCCCACAGAAAGCATCTCACCCCAACACGTAATGCCCGGAGAAAGGAGCTTTCCAACATGTGTTTAAGCAGTCGCTATGAATAGACCTTATGGTCCGCCATGGCTGGTTAACTGTCATCCAGCTTATAGTTATCATGTAAAAGCCCCAAATCTCAATGCCGCTCACAGTGGGACAAGCCTATGTCCTTGATAAGCATACTAGAGGCCCAGTGCACGAAATTCGTGCATGGGCAGGGTCCCTAGCAGCTGCCAGTCAGGGCCTCCCTTCCCCCAGGCACCTGCCACTGCTGCTGGTTGGGGCGGGGCTGGCCAGAGGGCAGTTGGTCCTCCCCTGGGTGGAACTCCCAGTGAAACTCCCAGTTGAATTCCAGGTCAAGGGGACAACTTGCATATGAGGCCTTTATTATATAGGATTTGCTATACTGGAGATGGCATGATGACTTCTGCATTTATAGGGAAACTGTGTGATGACACAGTTCCCAGCCCACGATTAACTAACAAAAGTCTGTTTTAAAACCTAAAACTCCACAAATAGCGAACCTTCCAAATGAGCAAAAACTGGTCTTCCTTGGGATGTGTAAGAGTGCCAGTGCACACACACAGCCACAAAGGGAGACACCGAGGAAAGAATTGAAAATTGAAGTCTGCCGAACGCTGCCACCGTTCTCTCAGTTTCCGCCACCCACAGCGAGCCCTCGGCTCCCGCGTTTTCCGTCCACCAGCAGCAGGCTCTCCGTGAGCTCGGCAGAGGACAGAGGACAGAAACACCCCATGAGCTGCCTCAGCTCCCGACAGGACTTCTGCCCCCTCCCAACACCCCAGACTCCCACTCCCGCCCGGGGAGCCGTCCGTTCCGATCTCAGCACAGACGACAACCGGGCGTTCAGAAACGAGGGGACAAAACAGGCAGAAAGACAAAACTGCATCCAGGTTGTTGGCAAAGAAAGTTATCGAATGCCTGTGATGGGGGAGAAGGACGTTCAGTGAAACGGAGGAGAAGGCCCGTGTTGGGGGAGGGTACCTTCTGGAGCTGAGCAGAGGGCGTGTCGGCGACCACGGCCTTCCAGCTCCCCTGAGGCCCCTTCCACCTGCGGATGTTGGGCAGGACCGGCTGGTTGAGCTCCGCACAGAACTGCAAAGACAAAGACGGGGCGGTCAGTGAGGCGGGGGTGGCCCGGGAGCCAGTGGTGGGGGGGTCCCGAGGCAGCGTGCTCACGGCAGGCTCCATCCTGGTGCAACCTCGTTTTGTCGGAGAAGAACGCCTGCAGTTGTGGGCAGGTGACTCCCCGGTTCTCACCCTCAACCCAAGCCCAACACAGTCCCGGGGATGCACCTTGATCGGAGGGCGGCGTGAGAGGGGTGACCAGGGTGACAGTTTCCCATGCTCACTCCCAAAGACAGTCTTGGGGAATGCAGGGGGGGCTGGTCAGAGCACCATCAGGATCGCCTGGGAACTTACGGGAATGCAGACTCCCAGGCCCCGCCCGGACCACCACATCCACAGGGTCTCGGGTGGGGCCCAGCAAGCTGAGCCAAATGCCACAGGGAACGGCCAAGCTCAAGTGTGAGTTTCAGGTCAAGGTCATGCAGCTGGAAGTCAGAGGGAGGGGGGAAGCCGGGCGTGCCTCCTGCCCCTGCCAAAAGGGGGTGGGCCAGCCCGCCTGTACCAGCCCCCAGTCCTTCCTGCCCCAACTGCCAAGGAAAACAGGAGCACCCGAGAGCCCGCCCCTCTGAGCTCTGCCTCCCCCGGTTCTGTTGGGAGCAGGTGGCTCTCCGCCCACACAGCAGAAGGAAGAAATGCTGCTGTGGAAGTTGGGGTGCGCACTGGGCCGGCAGTGGCGGTGGAAATGGAAAGGGGGAGGCGTGTGTGGCCGCAAACAGTCTCCCAGGTAACTGGGGTCTGCACACCTGAGCCCTCCGATGCTACACCCTCCCCCACACCAGCTGTGCCTCTAACACCCCAGCGGCTAGCCCACCCCCGGCCGCCGCCCGCCCTGGCTCTCGGTAACCCTGGTTAGCGGGCCGTCCCTGGCGGCATCGGACTCTCTGAGGGCCGGGCCCCGGCGGGCACTCCCCAGGGGTGAATGTGTGACGATCCCCAAACAACCCCATAGGCTGGAGGAGCTGTGGACACGGCCACACCACACCCTAAGCCTCTGGCTCTTGGCAGACTCCCTGTGGGACGAGGCATGAGGGAGCTGCAGGATGGCTCACAGCAGGCTGCAGGAGGTGAATCAAAGGACGTCCCTCTCCCCAGCTTCCCTCTCCCAGGACAAGTTACAAGGATCACAGGCCAGGCGTGCTTCTCTAGCGTCAGACCAAAGCGGGTGGCAGCACCCCGCCCACAGCCAGCTGAGCAGAAGGCAGAACCCAATCCCCCACCTGTTGGGGTGGCCCTGTGGCCTTTCTAACCCCAGGTCTCCTGTTCACACGGCTCAGGGGTTTCACGGCCGCTCGCAGGACAAGGTGCAAAGTCCTGTCAGGGCACGCAGGGCCCAGCATGGCCAGGTCTCTGACCTCCCTTCACTCATCTCATCACCCTGACCCTCAGCCTCGGTGCTGCGGCCACACTGACCCCTGTCCTGCAAACCAGCCGCGCTCCGTCCCTCCACAGGCCCTTGGCACGGCCTGGTTGTAGGCTTGGCCCCTGGCCCTGGTTGGGGCATGTGCGGGAGGCAACCAATCGGTGTGCCTCTCTCACTTTTTTTTTTCTCTCTCTTCCTCCTTCCCTTCCCCTCTCTCTAAAAACCAGTGGAAAAAATACCCCCAGGTGACGAGTGACAAAAAAATCGACGTGAGCAATGGCTTTGATGTTTAAGGTGAAGCAGAGGAGCCACCCTTTCCACCCAACAAACAGACACTGGGGCTTCAGCCTTGGGGCCAGGGTCAGGCGGGGAGCCGGGACCGGCCGGCAGTTTGCTCCCCCTGCTGGTCACCTCGGAATGTGCAGCCCAGCCATTTCGGGAGCGTACTTTTCAGAGCTCAAAAAAGACAGTTTGGGGACAAATAAAACAAGCTCTTCTTCCCAATTTAGGCATGTACTTGTGAGTAATGATTGAAACTAATTATTCCAAGTGGAGGCAAGTCTGGAAATAGCAACGCGTTTTGGAGGGTTTGGGGCTATTTTCGGCGCGCGTAGGAAGGCTGCAGGCAGAGCCAAGCGCCCCGATCCCAGCAGGGGCCCCGGGGTGGCCGCACCAGGGCTGGCGCCCACGTGTCATTCCGCGGATGCCAATGCTTTCACGTCGCTTGAGAAACGTGCCAACAGCGAAGGCCGAGGGGTCCGCATTCCACTGGTTCTTCCTAATGAAATTCCCAGACAGCCAACGGGGAGCGCCAGCCACGGATGTCACATTTTACCTGTAAGCAGATGCCCCATTCTACCCCAGCTCGTGGGATGATGATGACTTTTTTCCAGGGTGAAGCCGACCGTACACTTCCTTTTCTAGAATCTTCTCCCTCTTTGACAGTGTCAAAGTGGGCAGGCTGACGCACAGGTGCAGTGGGTGTGGACAGGGGAAAGGGCCTCGGAACCCACATGACACCTCCCACAGGCACGTTATCAATAAGAGCATTTCCCCCCATGAGGTTTCAGATGAGGCAACAGAAAGGGCGAGGCCAGGAGGAGAGATAGGCCCACACATCCAGGCAGGACACGGTGATGTATTATAGGTGCTAAATCCCTGAGAGAACAAGCAAAGCTGGCCCTTTCCATTAGCTGCCCCTCCTCTCCCTTCTCTTCCCTCCCCTCCCCTCCCCTGGGGACACCGGCGGATTTTTAAACCCCAGACACAGACCTTCTCAGACTCACGTCAAACGCAAGACTCCCAGCATTCATTTCCCTCTCGTTTCTGCGAAGAACCCCCATCCCTTAGGAGCGGCCCCGTGACACAGTGCACACAGACCCTCGGATGGCTGTCTGCCCGCCGCCAGGACTTCAAATGGTGCCTTCGCAGCCCGCCTTCCTCGGGCAATAATCGTGCACGTGCGCCTGCAGAGCGTGGGTTCGGACTCAGGGCTTGTTTTACGTTGGTTTGCATGATGCCACCCCCTAGTCCTGAAGGCCTGCCTTTTTCCTGCTTTATCTCGGGGGGCGAACCACGCAGGCTTGCTTGTCCTTTTCTGTGCGGGCCGCCAGGGAAGGCGGGGGGGACTGTGAGTTTTTGTCCCAGACACCTGATGGCGCAGGAGCGACAGCCACGGAACAGCGCCCTCCTCCTGGGGTGTGCGGACACGAGTGGTCCTGAGTGTCCTGTGCCCACGGGAGAGGCGGAGAGCCAGCCCCCAGCTGTCTGCCCGCCACGGCCTCTCCCATCACATTTCTGCCAGAGGCACTGAAAGACGGCCAACCTGCCTGGCGCTAGTGTCACGGGCTTCTCCTTCCAACATCCTGGGAGAGGGCGGCTCGGAAGCAAACAGGACAGAAAGAAGGGACGTATCACAAAGCCAGGCGGCACCCAGGGCCGCGGCGGTGCCCACAGCACACGAGCAGTTATGTCTCAATCAGATGGAGAGCGTTCCTCTGTCCGCTGGGAGGCCAGCCTCGGGCGGGCCAGGCGCGGGTGTACACTCCTCACACGACTCACACACCGGGCCCCGCCACGGAGGCGTCACCCCACCAGAGACACGGAGAGCACGGGGCTGCCGGGATGAAGGTCAGCCAGAGCCAAGTGGCTGAGCCAGGACCCAAACCCAAATCTGTCTGACTCCAAGATGCCACTCAGCTGCCTGCCGAGGAGAGGAGCACTATGCTCCGACTTGTGCTTTGGAAGAGTTACTCTGGCAAGGATATAAACGAGGGACTGGACAACGAAAGTATAAGTCACAGAGCCCTGCTGGCATGGCTCAGCGGTTGAGTGTAGACCTATGAACCAGGAGGTCATGGTTCGATTCCTGGTCAGGGCACAGGCCCGGGTTTCGGGAGTGATCCCCAGAAGGGGGCGTGCAGAAGGCAGCTGATCGATGATTCTCTTTCATCATTGATGTTTCTGTCTCTCCCTCTCTGAAATCAATAAAAATACATTAAAAAAAAACCAAAAAGTAAATCACAGAGACCAAATAGTAACTTCATGTTTTCATTTTTCTCTCTGCCTTCACATTTTCTAGAAATTTCACTTTTCTGGCCGTAATATAAATACTGATTAATTGGCTTGAAGTTTATCCATGTAGAAGACATGCATTTGTGCATCCACACACGCACAGTTAATTCTCTTTCATAAGTAAAAGCTGATTAAGTGCTGCTCATAAATAAATTAAGGACCAAAACAACATTAACAAATGTCCCTGCCACATCTTGAACTGATGCCTAAAAATACTTGTTTCTTCTTCCCCTCTTATTCTCAAATGTAGCCGCTCAAACTGACTGCACCACATGGATGTCTGGATAATGACACACAAAACGAACAATCAATATGCAGCAATTTACTCCTCAGCAGGGTTTTGGCCAGGGGGAGACAGGGCGGGAGATCAAGCCTGTTGGATAGAAACGATGAGCACTAACACAAACTACAGTCTCACAACTTTATAATCTGGGAGAGAAGGCTTTGCTGATCCCCCAGGAGCTGTGTTAATGGGGTTCAGGCAGAATCCCAGAACATGGTCCAGCCCTTGGGCTTGCAAATGCTGAGGAGCATGCTTTAGTCCCAAGCACTTGTCCTTGTGGCTTCCAGAGCTGAACACATCAGAGGGGTGCTCTGTGACTCACTGCGGTCTTATCCAGCCACGTGGATAAATCTCTTGAGTGGCCCCTGGTGTCGGAAGCCAGGACAGGCAACCGGAAGGCAGGTCATTCTGGAGCAACTCACAAACGGGGAGCGGCTTTGCCGTCCCTGGCTGTCCTTCCCCACCTCATTAATCTGCATGTGAAAGTCAGTCTGTACTTCATGGACAAGAGTTTGATGGGACAGGCTTAGGGCAAGGGAAGGAGTGGGGAGGTAGCCCAGGGCAGAGTGTCAGAGGGAAACCAAGTCCAGGTTCTAGAAACGAGTCTTGGATTCAGTTCGTAAGGGATGACAGTACACTTCAGCACTTCTAGGCAGACAGATCAAAATCTCGGAAAGCAGGCTGGATGCTTTCCCAGCAGTTTCAAATCTCATTAAGGCCCAGACTCACCATTTCAATGCCACCCAACAG